GCCGATTTAACGGTACTATTACTATGTACAAAAAATTTGACGCGCGTCACGCGCGCACCACTCGCGTCACGCATCGCTTTGCGCGTCAGTAATCGTTTGTCACAATTCTTGCCTTAGCTAGTGTCCTTGAATGACTGTTTGAACACGTGCTACAGTTATTTATAGCTATGTAAACAGAGGGGACCGATTTAGCGGTAATATATGTAATAAACGAACCGGAATTGCAGTTTAACGTTTCGCACGCGACAGGGGACCGAAAATTCGGTATATAAAATAAACTAAGCAAAAAAATCATTCAAAAACATAATCTTATTAAGAATCCAACGTATGATGACGAAATACATCGTTAAATACGTAATATTCTATCACACGGATTTATGCAAATCAAATAAATTTTATGTCCAGAGCCTTAAGCCGCATGTCTCGAGGGCTGTAAAACGCGCGGCTTTAGCCTCAAGGCGTCAGGGTTCAACCGGTAACTGATATGTAATCTTTCCACAGCAAACATCTCAAAGCGAACATTGAATATGTCTATGATTCCTTTAAGCGTGCTATTTACTCTGTCTTACAATGAAATATTATATGACTATGCTCTGATAATATTCTATACGTATTTTGTCGTATAGTAACGTTCACAGAAACACACCATATTTTTATTGTGGCTCGGGATCATAAAAAACCACTTGTTTAATAATTTTCGGATTCAGAGAATACTAGCGTGGCCAGTTATTACTGTACATTCCAGATTCTGTGGTGCTGCATTAAAAATTTCAAAAGAAAATAGCATTTATAAAGCTCTAGACATTACAAAAGTTGAATAACATTTATTAAAATATTGTTTTTAAATTAAATGCTTTATTCAATTTTTTTTTTCAGAGAATGGAAAAAGGAATTGCAGAAGAAAAATCCGAACATACTGAAAGCTGTCTTACGTTTTGTTGGTTGGAAGTACTTGATTTTAATACTACTTGTACTAATTCAGGTATTATGACATCCGATTATAAAGAGGTGAAGTTAGTATTAAAATAATTGAAATAACTGATATTTACATATAATTACAGGAAACAGCTGTAATTACAGGTCAAGCATATTTTGTAGGATCAACAGTACGTTATTTTGAAAACAGACAGGAATGGAATCACTACAACGTTTATCTTACAATTGCAGGATTCTTTGCTGTTACTGTGATTTATTTGTTTATTCATACTACTAATCTGTTTATGACAGAATATTATTCAATGAAACTGAAGATAGCTTTCTGCACTTTAATTTATAGAAAGGTAGGTAACAATTATAATGTATTTTGAGTAAAATATTATTTTTATATTATTTATATGTGGTGTATTGTGATTAAGTAGATCAGAGAAATTTTAAAAAATGTTCCTTGTGTGAAACGTTTTCTAGCAATCGTAGATTTTCAATTTTGTTTTTCAAGTTAATTTGATTGAAATTGTGAAGAAATGAATTATTAATTAATATACTCAATAATTTTGAATAACCATCGTTTTCTGCTAAAGATTCTATTAAATATTTCTCTTCTTGAACACTCTCCAATAATACTTTTCTTTACTTTTGTGGAAGATATTTTGCTAAAAGGTAACTATTGCATTTCATCAAAATTAACAGTAAATATTGATAACATGACTCAGAATGTTACACTTAATATCTTTTTATATTAAATTCATAAATATAATTATTCCAGTTGTTTCTGCTACTGTCATTGGTTAAAATATACACGATAGGGCAGAGAAACGAGAGGTTTCACAGTCGATTTTTCTATGTACTGATTGAATAGAAGAAACTTCCTGAACGATGGTATGTTTGCTAGAAGAAGTAGTAATTTTGAAGTAATGAATAAACGCGCAATGTGCGTCTATTCATTACTTCAAAATTCATTATAAAAGGAGATGCTTTCTATGTTAAAGAATAAAAGACAAAAAATACATAAAATCTTGTAAAATGTGCCTGAAATACATTTGCCTTACACATACAACGAATAAGGAACAAATTTCTCAGAACAAATACTGAGTGCAATTAATTTAATTTTATAAAAATTATTTATAACAATAAAATTGTTTTCAGTTCTAAAAGTTGAGTTATTTTAAAAATTTAAATTTATAGAAACAAATATCTCAATAAAAAATATATCAACTTCTAAATTTAATCTATTATCTAAATATATAAAATTGCTTGTCCTGACTGACTCATTCACTGATTCATCATCGCCCAGAGCAAACCGCTTAACCTAAAGAGGTGAAATTTGGTACACAGTTAGGGTACGTCATGGAAACGCACACTAAGAAAGGATTTTTCGAAATTCCAACGCGGGGGGGAGAGGGAGAGGATTAAGTCTTAACCGGAAAAACGGCTTCTACTGCACTATTTTNTGTGAAGAAATGAATTATTAATTAATATACTCAATAATTTTGAATAACCATCGTTTTCTGCTAAAGATTCTATTAAATATTTCTCTTCTTGAACACTCTCCAATAATACTTTTCTTTACTTTTGTGGAAGATATTTTGCTAAAAGGTAACTATTGCATTTCATCAAAATTAACAGTAAATATTGATAACATGACTCAGAATGTTACACTTAATATCTTTTTATATTAAATTCATAAATATAATTATTCCAGTTGTTTCTGCTACTGTCATTGGTTAAAATATACACGATAGGGCAGAGAAACGAGAGGTTTCACAGTCGATTTTTCTATGTACTGATTGAATAGAAGAAACTTCCTGAACGATGGTATGTTTGCTAGAAGAAGTAGTAATTTTGAAGTAATGAATAAACGCGCAATGTGCGTCTATTCATTACTTCAAAATTCATTATAAAAGGAGATGCTTTCTATGTTAAAGAATAAAAGACAAAAAATACATAAAATCTTGTAAAATGTGCCTGAAATACATTTGCCTTACACATACAACGAATAAGGAACAAATTTCTCAGAACAAATACTGAGTGCAATTAATTTAATTTTATAAAAATTATTTATAACAATAAAATTGTTTTCAGTTCTAAAAGTTGAGTTATTTTAAAAATTTAAATTTATAGAAACAAATATCTCAATAAAAAATATATCAACTTCTAAATTTAATCTATTATTTAAATATATTCTTGCGTAATAAAATTAATTTTGTCAAATCGCTTGAGTGAACAGGTATTAGAAAAATTAATATATTAGTTTCTTTACAGAATTTACTGATAATTATACTCGTATTTTTTAATTATATATAATATCTTATATAATTTTCGGAAAATATTTATTTTATATGAAACCTTCGTTTGCAGGCAATTAGGTTAAGTTCTTCTTCTCTGGAAAAATCGAATGTGGGACAAATGGTAAATCTTCTAGCAAACGACGTCGGCAAATTCCAGAACGTAAGTTGAAAATAATTTACTGAACAATAATACATTTAACGTATACTCGTAAACCGGTATATTTTGTGTAGTATTATAATGGCTGAATCAGTATTAACAACTTTAGAATAACAAATAAAGGTAATTCTAACAAGAGGAAAGCGCAATGAATCAAGATTTCAGTCGTATCTCTTTTAAAGCAACACTGATCAGTTCAAAATGAAATTCAATAGAAACAGTTTGTAAGAATTGTCTTCTGAGTGAATGACAAATCGATTTGATTACAATCATGCTTTGATGCAGTTTTCTCATATAATCGTATAAGCTCAAACTCGCGTACCCCTTATAGTAGAAATTTATATTAATCCGTACTAATATTATAAATTCGAAAGTAATACTGTCTGTCTGTTATCTTTTCACGTCTAAACCGCAGAACAGGTTTTAATAAAATATGGCACGGAGATAGCTTCCACGTTGGAGAAGGACATAGGCTGCATTTTACTGCGAGAAAATATTTTACTCCTACGAGAAAATTCGATATAATGCGGGCGAAGCCGTGGGTAGACAGCTAGTGATAAATAGAATAAGTTTTTCTTTTTTAAATTTACTAAAATACAATTCTAATAATAATGAAAATAACATAAGGTTATTTACTTTTAATGCGACAAATATGCATGATTTTCTTTGCGCAACTTTGTAAAATCTGGTTGCTTTTCGATCAGATTCAGTCTCGTGTCATTTTCGAGTCGATGTCGGTGACGATGTTTTCATGTTTGTCACGGCCGAAAATCCGCTTTCGCAGAAGTATGTTGTGCAAAATGGTAGTAAATATTTTATTGCCGCTTCGCTGACACGATAATAATGATAACTGTACAATTAACACAAATTGTGTTAATTGTACAAGTTTTGTTTCTTGCGTAAGAATTTCATTTAGGTATCTTCACAAATGCATTTTTTGGTGAAATTTCGAGAATATTTTTAGTTACAAATAAATGAATTTGCGCATTCGACATCGTATTGTAAATTTCCGAATTTTCGATGGTCCACCCATTACACAGATCTGCAAGTAAAAAACTGCATAGGATTTTTATACATTTTCTTACAGATTTCAACTTGGTAAAAGCGAAAAAAATACCAAAAAATTTCATCTCGTCAAATTTTTTGTTACACTCAAGTTTTTGTTTGTATTTAGCGTAAAATTCCTAGTTAACATAAAATTTACTATTTTTTTTAAATAGCCTTAAAACGAAGACCTCTTACATTAATTCTATCAATTATAGCTGGACATCGGTAATAAATAAATAGAAATGTTAATGGTTGAAGAGAGTAGTGGTAGGGGAAGGTGGGTTAAGTACTTTTAGCGTTGGAAGGAAGGTCGCATGATCGTATAGAAACAGGTTAAAAGTTGATAGTGAGTAATATTATTGGTGAGGTTGAGCGTGTTTTGACATGTTATCCGAAATAATAGGAATAAATATAAACAACCCGCTGTTGGATTAGATCGTGTTTCAACAAGCTAAATAAGATCAGTATCTCGCTGGCCATCTAATGCCACACTCAGTTTATATCCAGCATTCGAACGCTACGGCGCTTGTATTTTTATTTCTGGAATATAGCTCGCAGAAGTTATGTAATTTCTTCCGACAGCTTCTGTTATGTTTGTGCTGAATACGCAGTGAAAAGTCAACAAAGAAACATAAGTGAGTTTGTGAAGAAAGCTTAAACTGCATATTTCAAATTGAAACTTGGAGATCGAGACAAAGCAGATTTCTGGAAACAATAGGAGAAAAGGAAAAAGAAGCATGGGATTCTTTCAAGAATGTAATGCATAAGTTTTCGGGGAATACTAAGGACCCTGACTACAAAACCATTGTACGACGCATGCTGGCAGCAGCGTATGAAGCTCAAGGATGCGAGATGAGCTTAAAAGTTCATTTCTTACACTCCCATATTGACTATTTTCCAGAAAACTTTGGAGCCTATAATGAAGAAGTTTGTGAAAGATTTCACCAGGATGTCCGTGATATCGAGAGACGTGAAAAGGAAAATGCGATGTCAATACGTTAGTTCACTACTGTTGGATGCTTAATCGAGAAACCAGAGAAGGAAATTGGAAACGAGTTTGGAGGAGCATCAAAAAGAAGAAGAAAAGGTTTCATAAGAAAAAAAAGTAGATCTAAATTTGTGTATAAATATCAGAAACAATTTGTTGATTAGTTGTAGGAAAATATTTATTACAATGAACTAAATATATTATAAGAGTTTTTATCAAAAATTTGTTTTTATTTTGCAAAAAACCTTTACATGATGGGATGTAACAGAAGTTATTTTTAGAATCTGTGATCTTTATAACATATAATTCAGCAAAAATATTCCATGCAGCTGGAAAAATTTTTTTTTGCAGATCTGTGTTATTTTTTTGATTGCTTCACTCATGTATTTAAATTTTAAATCAACTGATTTTAGATTGCCGCGCGTACTTTTTCACGCAATTTCGCGTACCCCTGGGGGTACGCGTACTACTAATTGGAAACCACTGCTTTACAGGAATTGAACTCTGTGGCCTAATTTTTTCAAAGAAAGCACGAAAACGATCGCAGTTCATTGCAGACATGTTGAAAATGCTTTATGAAGATTGCATAAATTATTCCAACAACTGACCATCGTGAAAAATACTAAAAGAGAAGCGAACGTGCTATGTGAAAAGCAGTGATTTGGTTGCAAACACAGAAAAATACAGAAAACGTTACAAATCAATGTTTGCAAACTTTAATTAAAAGCATGTTACAATTCTGACATATTTCCCACTGGTACCCACTGTTTTGCTCAAAACAAAGAATTACCGAAATATTTTAATATTGAGAAACATAAAATTCAACATAAATTTAAATACAAGTATCCGTCATATAACACGGTAGTTACGTTCCGAAAAACTGTCGTGTTACATGTATCCATGCTATACAAAATAAAGTACTAATATAAAACATAGGGTTAGCATCCAATAGTTAACAAAAGTATGCTATTGTGAGAATTCGGGCTAGTTTTTATTTCGACGATCTTAATTAATATTTTATAATTTTTGCTCCAAGACGAGAGAAAATTATTTCGTTTTAACAAATTCAACGAAAGAAATGTTTTTTTGTTGTATTTTTCCTGTAAGATATACTACAGGTAACACTTCTTTCACAGGTGACAATTAATTAGATAAAAACTACTCATCAAAGGAAATGTAAAAAAAAAATGTCTTGCTGCTTTCTTTATCTATCAAACTTTTCATTCTGTTCAACTACTGGCTGATCGAGGAACGCTTGTTTTGTACAAATGCGGATACGTTATTTCCTTTGTAATTTGTAACCGTTTTAGACTAGCGATGCCACGAAACCAAATTCGCTGCAAGTCCTGAAGGGATTGTTCGACAAAAGGACTTTACAGCATGTTTCAAGGATTAGAAAAACGTTGGTATTTTTAATGCTGTAGGAGAAAATTATTTTATAAGAACAAAATGAATTTTGAGAGTAAATTTAGATTTTGCTTTCAATTTAATTATTTCCGATACTTTTCATTGCAGAGGTATTCATGCTCATTGTAATCTTTGCACTGATGAAACAGTGAAAATAAACGTCAGAAAAATGAAAAAACGCAGATACAAAATATACAGTAATATTTACCCCATTTAGAATTATTATAAGTTATAGAAGTTTTGAGAAAACATTAAATTCAAAAATTTGCTATTTTCAATATAATACAAGAGTTTGGTAAAGGTACTGTTAGTGCCGGAAATATCATATTCTATTAAAAATAAAACTAGTTATTGCATACTTAATTAATATGTTCATGATTTACTTTATGATCTCCAAAATAATTATCTTAAATTTAAGTTAATTTTAATCAAACTATTTCATTTATTACAGAAAGTTTTCTCCGTTGCATCTTTATTTACAGCGCCTTTCTTCATCATTTTTTCGATACTGATGTTATGGCAATATTATGGATGGACTATTTTAATGGGATATTTGGTAGTATTTCTCTTCGTTCCTATACAAATTGCTTTGAGTAAACTGTATTCAAAATTGAGGTAATTATTTCTCTAAATTATATAATTCTAAAGTAGCTGTAAATAAAATAAAGAAATCATTTTTATATAATAGTCATTAGTTGATGAGGGTGAAATTGATGTAATTAAAATCGATAAAATACTAAATATTAATTGATATCTATGCTATATTACGTAATATTAAAAATGGTAATATGGCTAAGGTTAAGCATACTGATCTCGACCATCAAAACAATATTATATGCCCTGAATTTCAGTTGTATGGAATGACATTGACTATGCTGTAAAAAAATGTTGAATTCCGTGGCTGTTTATCTCATTTCTGAACTTCATTAGCACATTTTTTTATATAGTACGATGTAATTCACGATTAAACTAAGGACATTTTTTTCTAACCTATGTAAGATTAACTAACACTAGTTTAACAGAGAACCCACGATGCGCATTCTTTTACGTAATTACGAAGACTAAATAAAAAAAAGGATGAACAGGGAAGATTGTATAGAATTACTAAGAAATGTATAGAATATCGAATGAGAAACATCAGTTTGACCATAAGAAAAGATATATCTGCGATACAAATAGAAACTTTGCAGATAACGTTATACTTTGAAACTTTGCAGATAAATGGTTAACGTTAGAGGCTGAAGACTTGTTAATGTTTAAAACTAAAATTACAGTATGATGACTAATAACTTAACTTTTCAAAGTTTGAAACTCCACTTCCTCAACGTAAACTCCTTCATTACCAGGGTGGACGCTTATCAGCCACCATCCACACCGAACAACTTTTCATGGCCTTTGCATACGAGATTAAACTTGTTTTTTTATTATTGTGATTAAATCATTTATTTTTTGTTATTTGTTCATTTAGTTACAGTTATTTGTTTTCGAAACGCGTGCATTTAATTTCAATTCATAATACATTCCTAGATTTGTATGAAAATTTCGTTTTAATGTTGAAAAATGTTCGTGAAGGATTAAGGATTTTCTCAGCAAATAAGTTGTTGGTTAATTTGCAATTTTCGTGCTGAAGATGAATATCAGAGTAAAAAAAACATAAATTAGAACTTTGTAACATAGAAAAACTTTAAAAGGCAATTCAACTGTTTCTTCTTACTTAAATTACAATGCCCGTTGTGTATATTAAAATACGTTTCGTTGTTTAGTTTTATTTTTTTACATAGCGTTACGAAAAACTCGGTCGTTAAGGCCACTTTGGACAAAATTTTTTTTTCAATTTTTGGAATGTTTTTTAGGTCCACAAATTTTTGCAAAAATTTTTGCACGAGCGAAAAAATTTTATCGCGATTTTAATTATCCTTTGATAAGGCTCGATTAAGGCTTAATTGTTTTTAATGGGATTTTTTTAATCAAATTTAATTAATTATTCTAATGTTCTAGCGCAGAAATTTTCCTTCGGTAAAGTTATTTAAAGCTATTTTCTGATGTGAAAAACGACCTCCAATAGTTTTTTAATTTTTTTAATTAATAGATTTTATTATATATAAATTTAATTAATTACGGGGCGTCGGAAATCGCAATTAAAATTTTAATTTTTTAAAAATATACGGCCAGCTAGTATTCACCCTACTTTAAACCCTTGTCCTCCCGATGCGTCTATGGGAATGCCCCGGGAAATCCGACTCCAGCTGTTCTCAATGACATCCAGCTGTGTACACAATGATTCATCAGTGTCAAATTTCACAGAAAGTCCAGACAAAGGAAAATAAAATTTGAAGCTTTTTCTTCAAAATTAACGAATTTCTTTTGTTTTTTCAGATTTAAGTATTTCTTATGTTTAATTATAAATAATTAAAAGTTGATCTGGAATGAAGGGTTTAATTTTTTATACTTGCAAAATTATATTATAAACATGGTTTGCACTGCATAGCGCCAAAATCTCTGCTTAGTGCTATTTTGATTAAAATGACGATAAAAATATAATACTGTTGATAGTACGTGACGATCAAATCCCGAGTTCGTTTCTATTGGCATTTAGCGTGAAACTGAATCACTAAATATATAGTAGAGCGTCGTTTATTCGAATCAATCGGGGACTGGGGTTGTTCGGATAACTTATTTATCGGATAACTGATTATGCACGAAAAAATACATTAATTTATCCTGTGTTGAAATTTTTCTCCGTTGCGTGTCGCTTCGCGTTGAATTTTCGTCGATGTTAAGCCTAACATAAACTTTTTAAAATAATAATCGTGGCTATTTTATCGTTAAAAATAATTTCTTTATATTTTACAAACGAAATAAATACATTGAAAAATATAAAAACAAATAAAAATTATACTTTAGGTCGACTGAAATTCTTTCGGATAACCGACTTTCGGATTAACGACAATATACTCTACTTCGGGAAAGGTAGGAAAATCTCGAGCTTCGGTACAATGCGAATCATGTGCATTATACACCTAGCGATTTCATGGCGTCACTTCGCAAGTTCGGGCAGTAAAGTAAGATGTGACGTTAAAAACCGAACATAGTTTTGTACAATGCAACGCAACGTTTCCAGATTAAAGATTTTTATTGACTGACAGAAAGTTTGGAGAACTTTTTGAGATGAGTTTTTTCATTTCGATGTTTTTCAGTACACTAAAACAAAATTTTTGATATAACAGAACTTTTCTCACGACTCGGTGAATTTATTGACACTTGGCAAATAATTTCATCATTCACTTTTAATACATACAGATACGCGCTTCGTCCTTTCGCCCCGCTTTACTCTATTACATAGATTGGTTGTATCTTGTGTATACAGGCACCTTCTGTACTATGCAGTCCCCTTTCGACTTGACGGCTTCTCCCGCATGCCTCGTAACTTGTATTGTCTCACTACCAGAGTGCCCCGCACAGCCTCGCCTGCGCCTGTATAGACATTCTATTTTAATAGTTGTAGCAAGTTTTTATGAATTTCAATGCTTAGATTCATTGAACCAAACAAAACAACAACAAAAAGAAAGGGTTTCCACAATTAAATAAAAAAAATGACAAAACCTGTAAAATACTATTTAAACATTGCGATAAAATGTGTTATTAGGAATTACTGATTACAAAATTATTTTAAAATATTTGTATTGCTAACAAGGGGATGTCCTTACAAGCGAATAAGCTTCTGACGTTAGTGCAAATGGACGAAAAAAACAGGTGGTATGAGGATGGCAACTGAGGAATGTTCTTTAAATTGTTAATATTATGATCAGTATTCTTACGCGCTCATCTTTGTTACGCTTCAAGTACCGCAATATTACTGTATTTGAAAATAAGCACGCAGAAAGTTTTATTTAATAATGTTATGCGAAAATTTCGAGAGGCATGTTTTTTCGTAAGCAAGCAATAACGTCACAATTTTTAATTTTTTCTTTTATAAATTATAAATACGAGGAACAATAATTGTAATAATAATGTTAATTATTCCGTATAATAATAAAATAATGCCACAGATAAAAAAATTAAAATAGATTCAGTAGGTTCGAACCTACATCGACTTGTTCCAGAACGGTGCCTTTTTCGTGGCTATGGCCGCTCCTGAACATTAAACTTCCAAATTCTTTAAGTTAAACACTCAATTTTTACAGGCCACATTTTTGGAAATGTTTAAAAAGTTCATCTTGTTATTTGAACAAGGAATTGTTTGGTTTAAGGCTACGTGCACACCAAGTTTCGTTCGAATCGAAGAAACGTACTACTAACTCTCTCCTTGCTTTCCAGACACCAAACTGATAAGGCTGCAATCGCCTACATCAATCAGGAAAGAAAATTGGTGACAATAAACAATATAAAATGGCGAAAAACATTTAAAACTAGAAATACTGTAGCGATCGTATTAAATTTTTCAGACCCACCCCTGCCTGAATATTAGTTTTTAAATTTGTACAATATAATTATTTTTTGTGTATGAGATACTCTGGTACAAAAGATGTTTCTTTTCTGTTTTTCACTCTGCCCTTCAATCGAAGAATTACGTTTTAAACGGTACTATTTTCAGCATAAAGTAAATAGATTCAATAAACTAAATAAGTTCATAGAAATTATAAATCATTGATAAACCTTTTATTTATAAAAATTTAAATACGTGAAATAATCTCTCTAAGTTCCAAATAGTATAGAAAAACATTCGAGTAGCATAAACGACTCTTTTGTAATTTATTTATTTATTTAGCGTATGGCTACACATCTAATTGTTAACAAGAACAGCAAGCAGAAAAAGTAAGAACACAAATCATAANAGTTCACGAATAGACGTTATCCAGGGTGCACCACGAGGAGGCGAACTAGCTTTACACCCCGTTCCAAATAGTATAGAACAACATTCGAGTAGCATAAACGACTCTTTTGTAATAAACTGAGGTTTAACTTTTAATGTAAGATTATTATTAAACATAATCTATTCGTTCAGTTTAGTTTTATACAATTTTCCAGAATATATGTTTATAAATTTAATTACATAATAGATTACAAGCAGCTATTTTGGCAGACCAAAGATTGAATTTGTTGAACGAAATGATTGCTGATATGAAATTAATTAAAATGTACACCTGGGAATTGCCATATGCTGCATTAATAGAAAAAATCAGGCTGTAAGTACAATTAAATGTAGTAAAACCTGTGTAAAACGGAATCTTAATAAGACGAATGCCTCAAAATAAAAAATTTTTGAAAAGCACGATTAAAAAACATTGTTCGAAATATAAATTTGACAACCTGGATAAAAATATTGAATATCATTCGATTCCGGTTTGCACAGATTTTAATATAATTTCTATATGCTAATATGTTAATCTTTAAATAAATATTTTCAGAGTTCTGTGATTAACATTGTTTAATTGTTTATATTTTAGGAAAGAAATGAAAATAATTCAAATGTTTTTATATGTAAATGGAATAAAATCCATATTGGCGTATCCTATATCAAAATTATTTACTCTTCTGTCATTTGTCGCAATTTTATTAAATGGAGGAGAATTAAATGCCAAAATTGTGTTTGTCACAATGGTTTATTCCCTGTACATTTTCAACAGCATTATTAGTCTATTTTCTCAGGCAATAAGTTTTGTTGCAGAAATATTGGTTTCATTGAAGAGGATACAGGTAACAAACAGTTTCATATCTATTCTTTTGAAATTTAACTAATGCAATACTAGTTTAAAAATTATTCGAGAATGACAATATTTAATTAGTAATATTATTGTATTTGAAAATATCAAATATTAACACCTGTCGAAAGATAGATCTGACGAAAGATGAATAACTCCGCAACATAAGCAGGAAAAGTCTACTGAAAAGTCTACATTTTGCGGTAAATTATATAATAATCCGAAAAACTTTTCCACGCGAATATGATAAGGTTTTAGATACGAAGATTTAATTTAGCCTGAATAACGCCTGAAATTAAGGTTCCGCTTGTTAATTAAATCGTTTTATGTTTGATTTTTACCATATATTGTAGAAAACTGTATTCTGAGAATGAGTTCCAATTTATTCACATTATCGAATGTCACATTGATATGACATTCTAATCGATATAAGTTTTCTTGAGTAGAAGTCTCTGCTGTAATTAGTTATGGTTGGAATTGAATACTTTTAAGAATTAATAATTTTCACGATTCGAATATGTTTCTATAAACTGAATTTTCTTAAATAATCTAGGTATAAAACTTGTTGAATATAATGAGAGTAATGTTACACAGAAATGTCAGCTTGCATTGTATGCAGAAGTTTGTAACTAAGCAACACGCAATATTTAAGAAAATTCACGAAAATTATTCGAAAAATTTGATCAAAATATCTTTATATCACTATAACTGCAATGCGATTAGAATTTCTCACCTGAACACTTACTGTTTTTGTTTTTTTTGTTAAACTATGTTTCTCTTTTGAGTAATAAAACAGGTCATTTTATGCTTATAGTGTGGCCAAGGCATTATATTAATGACCTGATAGGAAAGGTTATTATTGATGCGGTGTTTTCTATAGCCTACTTCATAGATAAATATTTGATATTAATTAGGGTGGGTTCCCCGGAATGATATGTAAACATTTTAAATACACTGTGGCAGTTTCATTGATAGAAAAGATTAGTTTTTTTTAATTTTTACACTATGCATGCTGAATGTTATTTGACTCTATAAGCTTATACGGATTATATCCGAAGACTTCTACTATTCAATTTCTGAGCACAAGTTGCACTGACCAATAGCAAACGTGTTTATTTGGAGAAAAATTCACAAATTAACTTTCAAACTTAATATTGATCACTTCTTTATTGATAATATTGATTACTTCTTTATTGATAAGATTCAAACAATTGATTACTTCTTTATTGATAAGATATTTGTGAGAATCCGAACAGGAAGTGCCTGTAGTATCATTAGTTGTAGTTGTTGTGTGTGTGCTGTAATCAGTGCTTGTTGCTGAATTATCTTGACAGATTACGTGATTTTCATTAATGTTAAATGTTTCTGCCTGTTGTTGTATTTCGACTGCTCAGAACAAGAGAATTACAACTCAAAAATATAGATTTTTCAGGAGAGCCATTTGAAGTTTTTAATTCCAGCTGATAAATCAGGGAATTGTTTAAAAGCAATGGAATTTTGTTTGAATGTTAATTATAGTCATTACATTGAGTTGGAATAATAATTCAAAATGTCATTATTGTTTTCTCAGTTACAACTGTTTGCCATTCTGTTTTTACTTAGAACAGCGGTTTGCCATTACATAATAATATACATTTTATATAAAGTTATAGTATTTATTTTAACAGAACAGAAAAATGTAATGTTACATTCTGGTTTTATGAGACCCATGTTGTTCAAACATGACAAACAATAAAAACAAAAGTAAGAAAGTTCACAAAAAATTAACACAGCCATTAAAAAAGTATCACTAATTGTGCTATGGTTTTATTAAGCAAATTAGAGATCAGTCTTTTTCAACACTACTGGAAACTTTCAGAGAATTATAAAATGATGCATGCACGCTTGGAATGATACCACTTTTACACAAGTCCAGCGAATCTTTCTTCTTTCCAGCATCTATCCCTGGAGGTGAAGAATAAGCTGGGTGCAGCATGACTTTGGCAGATCTACCTCTCATTCTTTGTCGAATGTTTAACTTTTCAAAATCCTCTTGGGCATGTGAGTGCTTGTAGAAGATGGTATAAGGATCTTGTTTCATGACCTTAATGATCTTAATATTAGGCCAATTCACTAAATTATTGTTTTCATTTTTGGAGAAATTGTTTCCCATTTGTTGTGATAAGTCTTTCAAATTGAAGATATCTGCTGTATGTAGTTCAGTCACATTATAAACGCTGCCTTTTTTCTTGGCTAATTTCAGTACTGGTACCCATTGAGCAGGTAGTGCTATTGTCCCACCTTTAACAACTCTTCGTTTTTCACGCTCAATGGTGGGATGCATTGAATCATTTTCATTCTGTGTGTGCCCTTGAATGAGAAATTTGTGAGTAATAGTGTTAATATGGTCTATATTATTTACACAGTATAAAAGTAATGAAGCAATGTATTTATTCTTGTTTTACCCTGCACAATTATCTGAAAACAAAACTACTTCATTAACTGTATTGGGCAATGAAGTAATGAACTTATAGAGGCATGTTCCAATTTCATTTGAACCTCGTTTGGCCAAGCCTTCATGCCAAAAATAACAGTGGCCCTTACTGTTTGAAATATCATAAATTGTAAAGTTGTAACATGAGAGTTTCCTTTTGTAGTATAAGGAAGAGGTGCAACTTTATATGCAACTTTCTTTTACCAAGAATGCAATTAAGTGAAAGCTGAAAACTGTTACAACTCAAAATATAACCCTCTTGAATTCAATAACAGAATGTATTAGCATATTGCAAAACTGTTCTATGTACGTCCCAGAGCCATAATAAGCCATTTAGAAATATAACCTTTATACGTAAGATAGAACTCGATACAAGCATTCCCATAAGTACAATAACTAAAACATTGAAAATTTTGAGTTGTAACCCTTTTGCTCCGAGCAGTCGATTTGATCAAAAACTTGTTGTTTGATAAGTTCATATGTTGTTTATGGGACAAGAGTGTTGTGTATAATTCTTCTTTTTTGATCAACACTCCTCTGTTCGGAGACAGTGAAGTGAGGTTATTGTTGTGTCAATCTATGGAGTTGTTGTCTATTCCATCCATTGGCATGGTTTTCCAACTTTTGTGGTCTGTTTATGCATTGGCACAGAAACACCAGGGGTAGGTTGGTGTCTCTCATCTGTTGAGGACATTGCAGTAGCCATGCTTGGGCTTGTGCTGGTTTTGCCACCGGTAACCGAAGGAGACGGTTGCTTATTTTCGAACGTGAGCTATTGCCTAACACGAACCATGTTAATCCCGGCAACGTCTGAGCCGACATCACATATACATCATACCATGATAAATATCTTCAGAGAATGTAAGTGTTGTTACTCTTAGATTTATTACACCCCATATACCTTATTGGCATGGGTATTCTTACCATTCGCTTGTGCTGCAGCCTGTATTGCTCTATGGATCAGTAATGTTACTGGAATCTTCCACCAAAACCAGGTATTGACTACGGGAGAGTTGTCGTTATTATTATTGTTATCAATCCATCCCGATTTTATTAAAAGATTTACTTTGAAAGGAGGGAGGCGATGACTCTTAGACATTTACATTTACTAAAGGATTAGAAGGTCACCACCAATAGGTATAGCCTTGGAAAAGGAAAGATGAAGAGTTGTAGAAGAAGTGAGAAGAGTGAAGAGAAGAAAAAGGGTAGATAGGAAAGAGTGAAATATGACATCTCAGAGCACCTGCCGAGTGCCATTTATTAAACACAAAAGTACAAATAGCCAAAATACAGTGGAATACAGTGTGACTGCTTCTGTTTTGAGGCAGTAGGAGCCCCATTATGGCTGACTTGCCTTGGAGCTCAACAAACAATCACGTGCGAATGTACAACCCGAATGGGGGTATAGACAAATCCTCCATGGGACGGAACAAAAGAAAACAACCGTTTGTGCAAAAAACAGCCCCAAACCGGGTAAAATGACCCTTAACGGCTACCTTGCTAAAGGGCCTGCAAACAAACTTATGCGTATGTACATTCCCTATCAAGAGGGAGAGAACCTCCATAACCTTGGAGGTTACAAAAACGCGAGCGACAAACTTCGGTAAAGGGACCAGAGACAATGACATTGTTCCTTCTTGTCTAGTGGTACGTGACCAAAGCTCTGTTAAGACACCAACCATTTTGAAACAAAGAACAAAGAACGGTGCCACAATTTATGCCCGTGTAACATTACAAGCTTACCATGCAACACCTTGAGGCACAGGCAAAATTAGGGGCATAAATATGACGCATAGTCCCAGAGCAGACCTTCACAATGCAAGCCCGAGTTGAATGTTACCAGGAGGGTCGCTTACCTAACGGACTTCAAGATGTCTCGCCCTGATGAAGGTTTCGAAAGCCTGGAGGGTCCTATGATTGGTAAGGAAATCTTTCATCTGGCAAGGCCAGTGAAAGCCAAATCAGCCAGAGTGCCTGCCAGAAGCCTTCTTTCTACTTTATATTTTGGACACAAGAAAATTATGGGCTTTGCATTTTGGTCCTCATTCATACAGCATAGGCATTTTGAGTCTTCTTTATTAAGAAATCGTTTCAGATATGCTCGAAAGTTTCCATGGCCTATTATGAATTCTGAGGTGGCGAAGTTGGGCTGGTAGAAGTTCATACTTTGTCTGTCCATAACACTCGGTAGAAACTCGAAGGCATGTCGGCCTATATTTTCTGATCCCCACCGCTGTTGCCAAAGTTGCATTATGGTGTTGTTTAACTTGGCTTTAATGAGGCTTGTCGGAAGAGAGCTTAGTGAGATGGGCATGTCCAACCTTGCAGCCCTTTTAGCCAACAGATCTGCCCGCTCATTTCCACTAACTCCTGAATGTCCCTTAACCCAGTGTAAGTGAATCGTTGCTCCATTTTTTGGAGTGTTTCGAGAAAATTGATAAATTCTTGAACAATATACAGTCTTGTTCGTAACCGTTTGAATTGAGCAAGTGCTGTTTTGCTGTCACTGAATATATTGATTGTCTTATAGTGTAGTCTTGATGACTCTTAGACAATAAGTGATTCCTCTGGCACAACGGTTTGATCACATACTCAATAAAAAACATAGAAGAAATAATATAATAAAATATTAATAATAATGCTATTTTGTACTATTTATTAAGTCATATTCTACTATCCGTCAAATCTGTTCATCCTTTCTATCTTGCACAGTATCCTTCAATTACAGACAATTCAGTGTTTCTTTCAATTTAGTCAAGCCACCGAATTGTTGGTCGGCAGTGGCTCTGTTTTCTGCTAATTATACTCAGCATGACCTCCTTTTCAAGTACTTATTATATGATTATAAAAGCATAATTTCTGTTTGATGATCTGAATTAATTTTATTAGATTTTTGGTTAGACGCTGTCTAAGACAGTTTTGTTGGTGATCCTCGCTGTACATGGGATGCACAAAAGCCGTCTTGAACACCACATTCCTTTTTTTATTAGATTTTAATAAATGCATGTCCTGATCCCGCTATTCATAATACAAATAATGTCTCCAACACTACAGTTGGAAATCGTCTATTTTTCGTTTGTCCTCTTTCTGTAGAATCCACGTATCATAGTCATATATGGCGATAGGAAAAAAAACCGCGTTAACTAATTTGCATTTAATTTGGAGGGAGATGTCTGCTCTTTTAAAAGCTGTTTATGCTTCTTATCAAGATTAGTTCAAGAGCTATGAAGGACTGAGTTTAGGACTGCAATCGTCATTACGGTCGATTTTGCAGCAGATGAATATAAATTCTTTATTTGCTAACTATTTTGACTATCTTTTTTTTTTATTTTGACTTTTTTTACTATTTTTGACTATTTATTTAGTTGGTCACTATTTTGACTTTTGCATTATTTGCAGTTATAATTATTTTGGTTTTCTTGTAGATAAGAAGCAGCTCTACCTTTGCACTTTAATGCTTGACTTTCAGTAACGACTGTTCTAGATCTTTCCGTGAGCAGCGTGGATTCATCTACAAATCTCAGATTATTAATGTTTTTCTCTCCAATTTTCACTCCAATGTTATAGTCATTCAAATCTGCTTTTCTCTTCGCCACCTCTGCATACAAAGTGAATAGTGATGGTGAAAGGATTCAGCTGTAGAAGTTATTCCTTCTAATTTTGAATCAGTTTTTTATGACTATTTCATACATTGCTTTCTGACTAGTATACAGCGATTATAAAAGCTGGGTGAGATGCGGTGAAATTCCGAATCATTTGAGGCACTTCCACAACTTGATCGATACAATCGACAACATTTCAGTAATTAATGAAGAACGTGTATACAGTTTTTTGCTATTTCTTCGCTGTTTCCGTCATCCATCGACGATTGCGATATGATCAAGTGTTCCTCTTTCCTTTGGGAAACCTGCTTGTACAGTACATCTGGTATCTCTCTGTCTAAAATTGATTACATACGCTGTTGAATAATCTTCATTAGAACCTTACTAGCATGTGAAATAATGATAATACAATTTGCGTAAATGAACATTAAAAACAGTAATCATAATAAAGTATTTTCTTGCAAATAGCTATAAATTTATGGAAATTTAGATATAACTTTTTTCAAGAGTTTTTGTTTCTTTATTTTTGCGATATAAAAATGATTGATTAGTGACATTCAAACGGCAAATTGGTGAATAAATACGGGACTTTATCTTGTGGTAACGAATACAATACGAATGTGAATATATTGTGAAGGAATTAAGCCGTTAGAATTTTTTAAATATATACAGTGGTACCTCGGTATACGTTTGCTTTAGAATACGTCCTGTTTGGACGAAACAAATTTTGTTCGGTATACGACTTTTGTTCGGTATACGACTTAATTCAATTATAGGCGCCGTCTACGAACAAGTAGCACTATCGGTGTATTAGACCAGACCAGAGTTTCGGGGTGCCACAGTTTATAACTTAGTTAAATTTCTTGTTTTTTTAATTTGTAAGTAAGATGTTATTATTTTTATTAATCATGAATTGCAACAAGGCAACAGAAAAATAAAAAAACGACTAAATTCACAATGAAACTGAAAAAAGAGATTGTTGAGAAATATGAAGGTGGCACGCAAATTCGAGATTTTAACTGTTGCCGTATTCCGAGAACGACAATATCGACAATTGTGAAAAATAAAGGCATTATTAAATCTGCTAGCGTTGCGAAAGGAGTTAAATCAATTTCTAAACAGAGATCGAAGACATTAGATCATGTCGAGAAATTGCTTTTGCTTTGGATAACTGAAAAACAGTGTGCTGGCGAGTGTATCAGAAGCAATTATTTGCAAGAAAGCTAAAAAGATACATGCTGACTCATAAAAAATCAAGCAAGAACTAGCCAGGAAAACGAGGTGTTTAAAGCCAGCCATTTTTTACATGAGAATGGATTAATCATTTTTACATTACATTTTATGGGAAAGATTGGTTTGGTATACGTCCTATTCGGTATAAGTCCAAACTCCAGTAACGGATTAAGGTCGTATACCGAAGTTCCACTGTATTTGATTATAATTTTCCATAAGTTTGAAGAGGAAGGGACTAAACGGAAATGGGCTACGTCGGTCTGTAAAAGTAGATGAAAAAGTTTATTAAGAGTTAAATATATTTTAGGCAATTCGGCATTAAGTTTATTCAATAAAGGCATTGAAAGCCGGGCCCAAACAAATAACCGCGGATTAAATATTACTTAAATTAGCCAACTGCGGATTAAATATTAGTTAAAATCATTGCGCTAAGTGTATTTCTGTTAAGTACAGATTCAAAATTGTTCCATATCATTCACTCCCGACGTACAGAAATTTTCAGTCAAGTTATCTTCGGATAATTTAAATGATAGTCTGGGATCAAATATTAAGTTGAAGTTGTATGGATTGGATATAGGAATTTAAATATCTTCAGCATAGTCATTAATGAATGAGGAAGAACTAAGTGATAAAGATTTATAAATGTAAGCGTGATGGTAAAGTTAATAGGTATCAATATGATATTAAGCGTGCAAACTAATTTTCAATATTCTGAATATACACTCATTGTTTATTATAGAATGCTGTAGTTTAGAATAACAAAGACATTCTATAAAATGCATTCGAATACTACAACATTTAGTTAAAATTTTTGGCATGGCTTTTCATAAAATCTGTTAAAAATTCTTTTTTATGTATGACAGAAGCAATTTTACAATACAAATTAACTCAATTCTGTTGTATTTCTTTGATATAGGTTATAAATTTAGAAAAAGTTGTTCAAACTTGATAAATGTTTATATTGTGTTTTACACAGGTTTTTGCATTTCCTCTCTCTGTGAGGAATCGCGTTTATATATGACTCACATGAAAACGATATATTCAATTCTATGAGATCTGTGTAGCATACATATAAAGAAACAACTTTACAAGTAAAAGAACTGAAATGCATCGGTCATTCAACTATTGTTATTCAAAACATAATCTGGAAATACGTAGAGTAACTTAAATAACAACTTTATAATATTCGTATTTTAACGTTTATGACACACATTATAATCATTTTTTCTACAAAAGTAGTAAACATTTTTTGTTCTGGCACCTTTTGTTATATAAATTAACGTTTTAGCCAGACCAAAGCCTGGAACAACCGAGTAGTTAGACACAAGGACAGACATTATTAAAATAAATCGTGTTTTAAAAAATACTTTAGTTTTTTTAATAACCCCGAGTTAATTTTAAATCACAGGAGTGGTAACTCAGCATATTAACCGCGTATTTCGTCGTGTACAAACTTTCATTAATATAAACAACATTTTCGGAATTTTAATTTAGGGTTTCCTACTCCTTCATGAAAAAGAGAATAATGCTGTCAAAACTATAGAAGAAGAAGAAAATTTAAAGGAAATACGCATGGATACTGTCACAGCTACATGGAAAAAAGTAAGATTTGGCTTTAAATTTAAGTTTTTCAATGATAATAATAACTTTTGCGATTTGTTTAATTCGATAATTTCAATCTACTGTACACATAACTTAATTAGAAGCATTTTCACCGAAAATGATCGATCGTCGCTAGTTGTTGTTTTTTTTAATTTATATATTTTTAAATTAATAAAAAAAAGTTAGTGATATCTATTAAGATTTTAACCAAAACAACAGTTATTTTGTTTTACTAGTAGTGAATAACACTACAGAATACTGGTAGCTAGTATCGAACTGACACTCGACCAATGAGTTGGACACGTGGAGTTTTTCCGGATTTTATTTACGTGTGTAACTTCTAAATTAAAAAAGCCTTTATCACAGAAAGTAATTTCAGAAGGCATTGCTATGTTTGCAGATTACTCTTGTGTTTCTTTTTCTTGTCACGTGGATTTATTTAAAAAAAAATATTTTTCCTAATACGGATCTCGCTTGTTTCGAGAAGAATTTGAAACTACCTTGCATACAAGCTAAAATGTTTGTATCTTTTGTTCACAGGTCTTTGTAACGCTACATACTTTTCTTAAATTTTTAAAATGTGATAATATTACAAAATACTGGATGCATTGCAACTTATGTATAACTATAAAATAAAATGTAATTGTTGTTTTAGATAAGGATAAATAAAGTTTGCATAAACCAAATTCAAGTAACTTTATTAAATTAAACGATGATGCAAATTTTAATTGTGATAATTATGTGAGAGGTAAACAATATTAATGAAATTATTCACCAAAATTAACCGTAGAATCCTGCACCTATCAATATTTACACATTGGTCGTAATATTTCTCTTTTGATTGTTTCTCAATGGTATGTAAAATTTATGCTGAGTTTACATTGTGCGGAATGTACAAATAACTTTATTTCGATAACGACTTTTATGTCAATTAACTTTACTACAGTAGCAAGTGTACACGTGACTTGATATATAACAACCAGTATTGTAAATTTTCCAAACATTGTAGCTTGAAACATTTCAAGTGGAAATGCTTGCTGACCAGGTCTCAAATATTAGTTTAAAATAGTAAAAAATCGAATTGCCCACCAGTGGCCGAGTGGACACCGTCTCATAGCGACAGTGATCATATCCTAAACAGTGTCAGTTCGGTTGTGGATTCGCGCCGCTATAGGACAGGTTGGCAGCTGCGAATTTCTGGGTTTTCTCCTTGCAAATAACGCCTAAATAGAAGCCATCTCCCTATAAAATTTATCCCTGGAAGGCATTCTATCCCTCCTTTGCCGTCTTCTATAAGGTCAGCTCTTTCATCGCCTTGCGATCCATCTCCTCTCTTGTCTCGCTTCCCTTCGGAGTAAAAGCGAATACAATACACTTTTCTATACCCAGGAACAGGATAATTGAATCGCAGAGAAAAGTATTTGCAGCATATCAAAATACAAAGTGAGAAAACTTGTTAATAAAAATGCAGTTGTCAAGAACAAGGAGACTTAACTCTTTTTGTTAAATGTATTTTTGTATGGTTTTCTCTCTATTCCCGCCATTCTCTTGTTGGAATGTTCTCACGTCGAATGCAGACATTGGCGTGACATTGATATTTAATGTAGCAAGTGACATGGTATTAATATACAAAGAGATGTATCACAGATGGTATGGCCGAAAAATTGTTTTTTCAATTAGTGTTTAGTTGAAAGCTAAATTTTCAATATTTCTCGATAGTCATAAGCGATATCCGATCAGATTACAAATACGCTTAACAAAAGAGAGATCTGGAGTTCTGGCTGGCCAACAAACGATATCGCGAGACATTCACTTGAATGGCATGCCGTATGCGGATGGACATTGTCTTTGTTTAACAATATGCTATATTGGGTGCTAAGAAACAAGCATGTCTCGGAATGTCGTCAACGTATCGCTGTGTTGTGACGGTGCCATATACTTTTATTAAAGTATTCTGCTATCAAAATAAATGACACCTCGATCCATCGATCCATAACTATATGGCATAAAAACAAGTAGCTGTTGTTTTAACTTGTGGTATTCGAAAGTAAAAGCCAGAGACCATAATAGCCAGAATGTCTCGATACACGCCTATGCGGGTTGCCAAGATACAGAAGGGGACTGAACACCACTGAAACCTTTATTGACGATGGCTACGGGTCAGTGACTTATGGCATATTGGACATCATGAGCACAGATTCCGTTGGTATAAAATGTCTAGGAATGGTCTTGATTGTCACTTTATTATTGGTCACATGTTACCGTCGTTTGCAAAAGTTTAAGACCACTAGTTGTTTTCCAGTATTTTACACATTTCATCATTTGCATATATTATTACATCATTTCGTGTGTTGATCTGGTATAACTAAATGCGTGTGTGCGTATTATCGGCAGATATTGACTCGAATTTTGCATAGATAGTGCTGTACTGAAATTATTGGGTAATAATGGGTAAGAAACCTTCACTCACTGTTGATAAAAAGTCAGAAAAAATCTTGGCTTTGCATATAGTCGGTTTTTCTGAACATCAAATGAGTTCTAGTGTAAACGAACAAAACACTTGTTTATCATGCTATCAGTAAACTTTAAAAAATGTCGAGAATTCACTGACCGAATAAGGAGTGGTCACCTGAGAAATACCTCTTCATATGATGACCATGTGATAAGAACACTTTTTGTACGACCACCAAAAAATCAACCAAAAAAATTCCATTAGATCTGCTTTTTATGTGTGGTATTAAACTTTTGCAAACGACTGTATATAGTCGATAGCGATGACTTTGGTGCTGTTACTGCTGCTCGAATAATAGTTCTATCATTCTATTTTATCGCCTTTGTAGACAAGCCGTTGCCTGCTTTTTTTTGGACTTGGTCATGCATATGAGCATTGTCTAATTGCAGCGTCACTCCGACCAAAATGTTCGGCGATATGTCGATTTGTCCAATCACTTTCTATTAGTCTGATAAGTCTTCTTTCAAAGTCAGTCATATACAGTAGTTGTACTGAGGATAAATTCGATGGCGAAGCATTGTTCACAAACCCTGACAATCAGCACAATCAGACAACAGTAGAAGTTGTTCATTAGATTCGTATATGTATATCAAGTCTTTTGAAGAAAGAATCATTTTTATGTACATAGTGTTCATCATTGCGTTGGGTAATGCCAATGTACTGTAGCTTAGATGATTTAGTTTGTGTTACTTTTTATCATTTGTGTATTTGGTGGAAAAATCGAATAGAAATTCTATTGAAGTATGATTATTTTTAACAAATGTCTCAATTTCCTTTTCAAAAAGTGTTTTTATGTAGATTCGGATATGTATAGAAAGTCCATTTTGAATCTTAACTGCAATTCCTGACAAAATAATTCGAATTTCTTTACAATAATATTTTAGTTGCTAGTATTGCATTATATTACCACAAATTTAAATTTGTTGGAGGTGTCACGTGTCACAAAAAAGTTCAGAGAATGTTTTTATTGAAGAAATTCCTATCACGTGATATTCTTAAATTGTTCGTGTTACAACTCACATAACACAAAAAAACTTCACTAAACGGTGACTGAAAAATTCTCGTTTATCGAGTTCATTTTACAGATTGTCGGGTTATTAATATGTTACGGGACATTCAATTGACGTACGATATATACTGTACAAATAATTCATTTTAAAAACAATAAACTAATTAATTTTAAATTTGATAACATCTATCATGATTTAATTATTAGTATATAATTATTTTTGATTTATAACGTTTAAGATTAGTTTTGCTTGTTTGTTGTTTTAAAAGGGAACCGAACCGACGTTGAATGGGATATCTTTAAATATGCAACCTGGAGAATTATTACTTGTTGTCGGTCACGTTGGATCAGGAAAGGTAATGTTTTTTTTTTCAATTTATTTTAAATTAATTACATGCTTTGAGATTTAACGACCGTTCGAAAAATTACAAAAAACGTAACCATTTATCAGTTTATAATACGAAGACTTCAAATTTTAATACTTGATTTTGTTATTTAAGAGACATTATTTTTTTTTATTTTAGTTTTATTTGATTAGAATTCATGAGCATAAAAAATATGTTTTGTATAGCTTTCAGGCAAAATGGCAAATTTTATATATAACATGTGTCAGATTAGAAAAATCGTCAGTTAATTGTTTGTATTTGACTTACGTAACTGGTTGTGTGCATAATTTGTTATAAAATCGTTCATTTTTGCTGTTGTGCATTAAAATAAACTGACTGAATGAAAGGAAAATATGATATACAATCTGATTATGGACGTTTATAATTACGTGTTCGTGTTATTCCTCATCTAACATTTAAATATTTATTTAAAAATATAAAAAAATAATTCTTTATTACTTTTCTTTGTCGTGAAATTGATAAATAATTCCAAATCTACAAGTTATTCTTATTGTATATTTTTCAAGAAGTATTAATTTATAATAATTGATTTTAGAAATTTTTGCACAAGAGCATTATACATGTATAACTGAATTTTCTTTATTATTAATTTTTGTACGCCCCTCTACGAAAGTTTATTGTGGATAAAATTTTAGTGGTTCACGTGCCTTTGTTTCCTTATTATACAGTTTACTCTATAAGTATCTACTGGGACAATCCTATTAGTAGGAGTTTATTTTACAAGTTCCGGGTATTTCAAATTGACGAAACTTATTCAGAAAAAAAAACAGTCTTTATTTTTCACCTGTTTCACCTGTATACACTCAGCCAATGGCAAAAACGAAGTTTACGTTAAACGACGTTAGCTGGCTGGACTGCCGTTTAAAATGCGTTGCAGAGTCGACGATCGTTTATTTATGAACCATCTAAACGAATCACGGCAGCAAAATGTTGGCTCTTTCTTTTTTCGCTGCTATTCCCCTCTCTTAGAAGTCGTTGATCTAATCACTACATTCGTTTATGACGTCAGAATGTTGGCGACAAACAACGTGTTTAAATCATGCCAGAATTTTTCCGAATAATATTAAAGTGTCCTCTAGGAAGTTATAAAAAATTATTTTGCAGTTGAGGAAATAGGTTACAACAATCGTATTCCTGGGATGAAAAAATCCGCATGGAAGATCATACAGAACGAATTTTCTTCGTCATTTTCTTGACTGTCTGCTCACTGCAAAACTTCATTCTTATTATAAACGCCTCTATCAATATACATAATGCTTTTTATATTTATTTAATGATAGTTTGATAGATACCTGCATGCAGTACAGACATGAATTCTGATAAGATAACTGGCAAATCTCTGGAAGCTTCCAGTGGCAAAAAGTTGTATTGTCTTCAACTGTTGTTGAGTAGTTAATAGCAATATTCTTCCATTTAAATGCTTAATTTCGTCGTCAATACGATTTTATGAAAATCAAAATTTAGGGGGGTTGTTTGTAAAAAAATTAGCGATAAAAAACGACTTAATTTCAGTTAAAAAATATTTTATAACTTTGACAAATTTTTCGAAAAACGGATGTCAATACTTTCGATTTTTATAGGAAATTTATTTTTTTTCTTACGATGACTAGTAAGTTGAATCATAAGCGGTCGCACACAGGATTTGTCCGTCTGTATAGCAGTCGACCTGTATAAAAGGGGAAGATTTCCCGCCATTCGGGGTAGACGTTGAGGAGAAGTACCTGACGTCATAAGATATAATTGCCGTAGCCGACAAAACTATTCAACGTTCTACCATATGAAGGGCGCCATACAACACTTAACGACCATACAAATTGAACAGGTTCAATACAAGATACAAAAGAAAGGTGTTAAGGTAGTATGTTAAAGTAATATATTGTAAACTCTTTTTCCGCGAGATAGGTAGAATTAAGGTTAGTCTGTAAGGTAGATAGTTTTTCCGATATATCTATAATACTTCCATTTATTTGCATTCTCGTTGTATTTGCGTTTTATTTGATCATTTGTATATTATTGTATTTATCCGTCTATTCGTTATATTAAATTTATTGCTTATTTGATAACAATGATTTCATTGATATCGATGCACTCCCAATTACATTAACGTAAGCCCTCCTAAAATACGGATTTCTTTTTACTTCTATCTGTACGCGTGTTAATCCGCGTTAAAATACGATTAACTGGTGTCAACATCCTGACAGGAGACGCAATTGTGAAATCATAGTCTCCACATTTATACTAGCAACGTAATTCCCTCCACACTCGATATTTAGTAGTAGAGTCAGCTTTTTTCACAAACAGAGGACTAGTTTGACAACTGGTAGCAGAGTAAGCGTTATACAAATCATAACTTTATTTTATATCCCTGGCCAACCTCACAATTTAAAATACGAACTAAATTTAGAAAATCTGTATCCAATTCGGAATTCGTTTTCGGAATATATTTCAAAAAATTATTCCGATCTCGATTTTTTTCTCTCTTCGTAATTGTTGACATGTATAATTTTTTGAATCGTCTCGTTTACAAGATTTATTACATAAAAAATGTTCATTGTAACATGAACTTCGCCACCAACAAATGAATACTCAAATAATATAGCTATCAAGAGAGTACAAAAAGTAGAACAAATAACTTGTTTCTAATCGGAGTTAAACTATGACAAACAAGATATACCGTCTCTGCAAAGAAAGATTTCTGAACCGCGGTCTACAAGATCTCTAAACTGCTATCAGCGTTTAAACGTTATCTCTGCAATTGGCTGACTATATTTGTGTTTCAGATATTTTGGTCCCTCATGAGCAGGTTTACAGCAACTAGGTGCTAAAACAAGATTTCAAAAAAATTACGAAAAACAACTTGCAGATGAAAGATCAAGTTGTCCGAAACACAAACGTAGTGTGTACAGGTGAAACAAATGAAAAATAAGGATTTTTTTTTAAATAAGTTTTCTTAATTCACAAGACCCGGATAACAGTATAACACGTTCTACTATTAATAGGATAAATCCCAGTAGACACTTACATAATAAAATTTTATTAATTCATTAATTAATAAATGTAATTTGTCAGTTTTTCTTATGAATTGACAAAATACGTTTTATTATTCATTGCATTATATGTGCTGATAAAGAAAAGCAATTGATAATTGAAATAATATCCTTATAACAATACACAAATATTTCAAAAATATTTATGTAATTATATTATTTATGCAAAGCATTTCGCATCAAATAATTAAATGACATTAATTTCGTTAGACGTCTTTATTAATGTCCTTGTTGAAAGAGATTCCAATTACTTCTGGTGAAGTGTCTGTGAAAGGAAAGATCTCGTATGCTTCTCAAGAAGCTTGGGTATTTAACGCAACTGTCAGAGAAAACATCTTGTTCGGAGAAGAATATCACGAAGATAAATATAGAAAAGTCTTGCATATTACTGCGTTAGAAAAGGTAAGATAATTTTTGCATTTATTTTTAAAACTTTAGCATACTTACGTCGGTTCTAGACGAAAATTTGTTTATCAACTGCAAGGTGATACAAAAATCATTTGTTATGTATCACAATACGATTACATTACGAGTCATTTGTATCGCATTTTTTCTTAAAGGCATGCCATAGTTTATGAAGTTAAATTATTAGAATGTATAAATAATGTATTTAGATTTTATATTTTTATGGATTTCTGTTAAACATCAATAAAGTAGCAATGTTAAATACATTAATTATTATAACAGTGCAATATGTGTATTAATAGTGCAATGTGTAGTACTAGTAGTAGTAATAGTAATAGTTAATAGTAGTAGTAGTAGTAGTCCTTCCAATGCTAAGTAGCATACTGAGACAGCAATTTTCTTCCATTGATTTCGATCATAGGCGAGGGCTTCATCTTCCTCCTAGGTCTTATTGAGCATCTTCTAATCTTGCAAAAAGTTTTACGCTAAATATTCTTGGGGTGTTCTCGTGGTCGTTAGGCATCAGGGGAACCTATTTCATGGCTGTCTTAGAGAACCTATTGTTTTACAAAGAAAAAATGTGGCCAGCCAGAAAGATTTTTCTATGGGTGACAAAGTTATGAAGTTTGCATATCCCACTCCGACGAACCTGTTCATTGATGATGTGATCTAAATATCAATTAACTTTACATCGTTTATCCTGATGCCAATTTTGTGTCCTTTCTGACCGAACGCATGTTGTAGCATTGTCTCACTTTCCTTAAACAAGGCGATATCGTCAGCAAAAACCAAATTTTTCAGACATTCCTGGTCAGACAACTCGAGGCCTGCCCAAATGCGCCCACCGGACCCTTCTTCCTGCCGCATGACATAATCAAGGACGATGAGGAAAAGGAACAAGACACGACCCTGCCTGACTCCTCTCGTAATTTCAAAGAAGGCTGTTTGACCATTTTCAGTTTTGACGCAACAACTCGAATGCAGTTATAAACCTTGAAAATGATGAAAATGTTTGTCGGTACACCATACAGTTGCAGGATTTGTTAGAGGAACTAGTAGTGAACACTATCAAAAGCCTTTGTGAAATCAATGAATTGATGGCAAATGGGTGTCGATACTCAATGCATTGTTCGATGATATTTCCAAGATAGAAGATCTGCCGCTGAACGTTCTTCTGCAGCAAAACCAACTTGCTCCTCTTCGAATTGTTGGTTGTGGGAAATTTGCCGGCGTCGAAATAGAACCACACAAAATGTATTTCCAGGCACAGAACGGAGGCTAATACCTTGCTAGTTGGTATACTTGAAGATATCTCCTCTCTCAGGAATTCTGACTATAACGATCCTTTGTGACTTCCCCACAATACCAGTCCCTGTTAAACAATAACGATAACTTTTCCAACATGGACTACTCTTCATGCTGCGAAACCTCAGCCATAATTTTGTCAGAATCGGCTACACTAATATTTAGACTCTTAATCTCAAGGACTACTTTCTCAAGATATCACCAGTGTCCATCTGAAGCTCACGCTGTGTATCCTCAATATCGAAATAATGAATGATAATCGGTTCCGCATGATTAAATGTTTTCCGAAAATCTTCTATCCAGGTGGATAGAAGATTTTCAAAAAACATTTAATCATGTTATTCTGCTCATCTTGGGCCATCAGCAGCGTCCCGTTTTTATGTTTTATTAGAAGGCTGGGTTATTTTTCATCCCAGTCAGTTCATTGACTATGCGGTACAGAGTCTTTGAGTCATTTCAGTCAGAAACCTCCTGTGCTTTAGCGCGCTTTCGTTGTAACCATCTCCTGTTGTCTTTCTGACAGCTTTTCTTTACACATCTATCTAACTCGGTTAATCTTTGGCTTTCTTCCTCCATCTCACTCATTGTTTTAGGCTGTTAAAGCTTTGCATCTTTTCTTTCATTAATCAACATCCACGAGCAATCTTAGATCTACTGATCTATTTTCGTCCTGAACATCTTTCAATGATGTTTTGGGTGTACTCCATGGTAATGTCTCTTAGGTTTTTCCAGAGATCTATATAGTATATCTGTTATTTCTCGAAGAAGAAAAAAATGACTGCGCATCTCCAGAGTAAATGCTTCAGCGGTGATTACATCATTTAATAATTGGATCATAATTTTTCTCTCGCTGAATGTCCTTTATAATGAACTGCTTTTGATTACAATGTTTGAGCTTACTTGGTCATGGTAATATCTAATATCTGCACTTTTGTATATCCTCACATAGTGCAATAATGACCTCCAACATCTATACTAATATAATAAAGAGGTAATGTTTGTATGTTAGTTTATATGCAGCAGGTAATCTCCAAAACTACTCATCCGATTTCAAAAATTCTTTTCACCAATATTTAGAATGAAACCTCAGGGTGGACATAGGCTGTCGAATACATGTCGAAATTACCCGATTGGGGGAGAGGGACAGGATTAAGGCTTACTGTGAAAAACTTGGCTTCTATTATACTATTTTAGATGCGGGTTTTTGCGTTTTTGATTGCGTTTTAATAGGGTATGTCAACAGAATGTACAATAAAAAGGGATTTTTCGATATTGCCCCGCGGGGGAGAGGGAGAGGATTAAGGCTTACCTTGAAAAGCTTGGCTTCGATTATAAAATTTTAGATGTGGGTTTTTGCGTTTTTGATTGCGTTTTAATAGAGTACGTCAACAGAATGTACACTAAGAAGGGATTTTTCGATATTCCCCCCGCGGGGGAGAGGGACAGGATTAAGGCTTACTGTGAAAAACTTGGCTTCTATTATACTATTTTAGATGCGGGTTTTTGCGTTTTTGATTGCGTTTTAATAGGGTACGTCAAGAGAATGTATACTAAGAAGAAATTTTTCGAAAAATTTTCTCCCAGGGGGGAAGTGTTATACATTTATAATAGATACATTTTGAGCCACAACAAGGCCTGGCGGGGTCTGCTAGTTTATTAATACAAATAAAGTCTATCTCATTAAAACTGCTTTGTCTGGTGACAGCCAGCTTCTTTTATGGTAAAGCTGATGCTGGAAGTAAATGTTTCCAACACACAACCTGAAATGTTCACAAACGATGTTAGCCTCTCTACATTGTCACTCATATAAACAGAGATGCATGAGCACCAATTACAGTCTCAAGTCTTCGACGATCGCCGCCTAACTGGGCATTTAAGTTTCTGATCAGTACTCTCAAGTCGTGATTCGGGATACTGTTAAAGACGTCTTGGAGCTGCTCATGACATTCATCTTTTATTGTGTCTTTCGCATCGATGGATGGANGGAAGTAAATGTTTCCAACACACAACCTGAAATGTTCACAAACGATGTTAGCCTCTCTACATTGTCACTCATATAAACAGAGATGCATGAGCACCAATTACAGTCTCAAGTCTTCGACGATCGCCGCCCAACTGGGCATTTAAGTTTCTGATCAGTACTCTCAAGTCGTGATTCGGGATACTGTTAAAGACGTCTTGGAGCTGCTCATGACATTCATCTTTTATTGTGTCTTTCGCATCGATGGATGGAGCATAAATTTGCACCACAGTCACTTTGGCATGTTTATAGATAAAGCGAACAGTAATAATACGATCACAGAAGAGCCAGCCTCCATTCAAGAAGTGCTTATGTCATTTGTTTACTCAGAATAAGACCTACTGCATGTTTATGCCACTCTACACGGTTCATGTGCAGAATGGTCTTGCCATCACTATTGATTCAGCCGTTTGTCGTTCATCTAATCTCACTGACGCCAAGTATATCGAACCGGTTTTCGTCAGATGTCCGTAGCAGCTGAGCGAGTCTTCGACTCTGGTATAGAGTACGCACACTTCCCGTTTCAATTTTCGTAATATTTCTGGCGAAAATATCGTTTCGGACACTGTTTGTCGGTTTCATCTTACGCTGTCATATTGCATGGAGTCGAACTTCCACTTATTCAATAGAAATTTTTGTTTAATTTTGCTGTTTCCTTAGCACTTATAATTTTTACAGGGACAGGTTACTAACCCAACGACAAACCCTTTACGTCTAGGCTTAAACAGTTAGGACTCAGCTAATGAAGCCTAAAATTTCAACTGTTTATTTTAAACGTTCTAACGCAATGTAATTATTTAGTAATGTATACTAAATAATAATCATTAGTAATTATTAGGGCTGTGGAGTCGGAGTCAGTGTCAGAGTCATGGGGTTTTGGTGTTTTAGCAGGAGTCAGAGTCAGAGTCGTCAAAAAATCCGCCGACTCTGACTCCATTTTACTTCCCGACTTGTTATCTATATAAAACGGAAAAGTATTGGAATCGCGTAAAATTTGACCCGTTAATTTTTTTTTTTGCAAAGCTACACGTTTGAAGACCTCCCGAATTCCTCAAAAAAGTCAATAAGGTGGGAAAAATTCGCGCCCGTGTAAGTTGGCGTCTAATTTGTTTAATTTCTTTATTTTCTGTTCTGAGATATTAAACAATATCTCAGAATGGGTAAAGTTTAAGAAATGAAATGCTGCACTGTAGCTTGAGTATAAAGGGGCATTAATACTGTTAAATTTTGGTTCTTAATTAAAGATCGACAGAGTGAAGGCATAAAAGTGGTCATGTGAGTAGTAGTGGTTTGGGTGGCATTAATCACAAAATTAATTTCTACTGAAGTAAATTAAAAAATATGAAATAATATTAAGTTGCATTGATAAAACTTGTTTTAATAATAAGTTGTTCTGAATAGATTTTCAATAAGAAGTTTTATTATAAATTTTCTCAAAGTAATATAACACTGAAATTATTTTTCTAATCACAAAATTAATTTTTACTCAAAGGAAATAATCCAAATGTTGAAAATACTCAAGTAAAATATAAAATAATATTAAGATGTATTGATAAAATTTGTTTTAATAATAAGTTGTTTTGAAAATTTGTTATAAAAATAAGTTATTCTGAAAATTTGTTTTGATATTTTATTATTTTTAAAATTAAGTTGTAGTGTGAGACTAGCCAGG